TTAGTCATGTCTAAGCCAGATATCGGGTTCGATTCTTAGTGTCATCAAATGTTAAAAAAAGAAAAGACATTTTACTCTTATTTTAAAAATTGCTATTTAAGAAGTTTAAATTATTACATATTAAATAAGGGCCGTTATTTTAAATTCTATGTCCTATATTTATTGAAATAGAGAGAAAAAAAAGAATACTTTGATTGTAGGCAATAAACATTCAAACAATACTAACAATTTGCCTTTCTCTGTAATCTGCTATCAAGCAAAGTTCAGACAATAAAAATAACCAAGGAATAATTTAATGCAGAATTTACCACAATAATGTAATCATCTTCATAAAAAAATGAGAGAAAAAAATGACTAGGTCCCAAAATTTGTTTTTTAGTTGGGGGAGCCACCTATTTTTGGATTAAGACATGAAATGGGAGTAAGACAAAAGTGGTATGGAAATTGGGGTGGGGGATGGTTTTTGAGATATGAAAAATACAAAATGCTATCATAATTTGTCTGTTATGAGAATGAAAAAGTCAAATATAAATGGTAAATATTTTTCATATAATTTTTAATTAAAAAACTATGATATTGTGGAAAAATCTATAAAACATGAAGTGAACATAAAACTTGTTAAAAATGTCTTCTTTAATACAAAGTGAATGTCAGCTCACCATTGGAGCCGACTTTTGACAAATAAAATCTGGAAGAATAAAAATGTATACTGAGGGATGATTTCAAAGAAAAAAATAATTTGAGACTGACATTGTAGTCAATATTTCACCACCCAGCAAGTGAAGATTTAAGGTGTCGACCTTTGACCCCAACAAGACATTTTAAGTAACACAGGCAAAACAATTTTTACCAATGAACCAAAAATTAAAACTAAGCATATACATTCTTTTTTAATAATCTAATTTTTAATAATGATATATCTATTTATTCCTAAATAATTAACAGATTTTTAATCTGACATTTTTTATTACTAGATAGATACAACTAGTTTTGATATTCCTTGTTTATTCCTTAAATAATAATCTTCTGTAAGGTAAAGTTTTCACTGTGAAATGAAAATTCACTCTGAATTTAAACAGGTATTTTTCAACAGTTTTATTAATTGTGAATATTCTTACAAAGAGATTAACTTTCCTGACAGTGGAATTAAAAAAAAAAAAAAAAAAAAAAAACTATCTCAAGGACTAACAAATTCCTTGTAAGACAATATGTAAAATGTATTCAATACCAATCTTTTTGCAATCGTCTCGTTAATTTTTAATAACTATTCTATCTTTTTGTTTTTATTATCATCTTAAACTTATTTGTTGGGAGAATTCAAAGTGTCTGCATGTTGGAAGATCTTTTGTAAAAGATAGAAAAAAAAACTAAAAAAAAACAATTATTTCAATCAAATATAAAACCATATGCAACAACATGTTGCTGCAATAGAAAGCCATTATAGACCGACATGTCTAAAATGAACTAATATCACAAGAAAGTCATATGAGCTCTATATTAGCTGTTTTTTACTGGTAAATCAAAACAATTTTCAATAATCACCTAATTTTATATCAGAAGGTGTAAAATATCAACAAATTCCAATTTAGAGCAGATATTTTACATTATAACCTAAGGTAAGGATGTTATTTTCATAAAACACTAAATGTCTGCAGCCATCTTTTCTACATAAACACTGCTTTAAGGCTTTGAGAAATGTTCACAGAATAACAAACAATATATAGCTTACATTTTTAAATTATACAAATATTTCTATATAAACATATTGGTAAAATCAAATGTTTTCTTTCAGGAATCAAAACAAATTATTAATACAATTAACTCAATATAAGCACAAAAGTTAGTAATGTAACCAGCATTACCAGAGGAAAAGGAATAAATGAAATTTATATGAAATTTAACAAAAATCCTTCAAGGCACATTTTGTGGAAAAGTGAACATGCTTCACAAGATGGCCTAAATGATTATTTTCTTAAAAAAATCTTTAATAGCATTATTTTTATTTTTAAATGGTATAGCTCTGGACAGATGAGTGTTAATTGAATGTCAAGTACATATGAGAGGAGAGTTTTCACAAATACTGAGAAAAAAGGTCCCATGAAAAAAAAAAAAAAAAATAGAAAACACTTAATAATTCGGAATGTCTGTACTGGACTTTTAAGTTATGTCACAAACTTTCAAAAAGTAACAAACAGCAATGGAATGACAATTATTTAGGATATCTGTTGAAATTTAAGGATTTTAAAAAAGATAATTCAGATATAGAACATATTACTACTACATTTTCTACTTTGTATACAATCAAATGTATACCCTGTGTGCATGTGTATTTGTAAAAAAAGATGTTTGAACAAACAAAACTAAAAAATTTTATTTGAATTTATTCAAATTTTTGTTTTGTAAACAAAGTACTGAGAAGAGTTATACTAGTTAGGCATTTAACATAGGATATTGTCTCCAGTTTTGTCACAAAAAATTTCATCAATCTAGCTAAAATCAAGATTTTTCTAGCATCAAGATTTTTCTAGCATCAAGAGAAAAGCCTTTTTGTTTACCTTTTTAAACTAATTTTTCCATTTTGTCAGCAGCAATAAGTTTCAATAAATTCAGACATGCTGATTAACATTATTTTGCTCTCATATTTAACAAAATTATTTTGCACCCCTACTCCATAACCATGATTTTATAGAAAATAAATTCAAACCAATAAAATTAGTCTTGAATTTATACCTAAAAAAGGCAGATAAAAAAGGTTTTAATTAGAACTGATATGATTGAAAGTTTTAGTGGACTAATTTTTGGGGCTTTTGTTCTTTGCATCATGATTAGGAATTTACAGTCAGATATATAGTCATATGCACTTTCTTTCCAAGTCAAGATTCTAGATATCTGTGAAGTAAGACATTGGAACACATTAACTAAATGAAAAATTTATTTAATGATAAAATAATTAGTAAATTGTTCAATCAAAATCTCTTATTCTACAGAAAGTGCTTATTTTACAAGTATTGGACAGACCACAATGGGGATTGATATTTTGATATATATTTTAAAAAAATCTTCAAGTGTTGTAAACTAGGCTTAAAAAATAGAAATTTCAAAAGTTCATTTTTAAAGCACACCCATAAATGCTATTACTTTATATTTGGTGTTTGTCAAAGATTTACTTAACATGTCTCTGGCTTAAATACTCAGATTAAGAATAATTTTACTAAAAATTAAAAAAATTCAACCATTTCATCCTAGCTAAAGCTCTTGTTTAATGTGGATTTGATTTTACAAGTTTATATTGCAAACATAGTTAATGCCTCGGTAACTAGTGTTGGTTAGTCTGGCAGTCCAGTAGCAAGTGTAGTGAGTTCAATCTACACAAGATTACTAAACTAAGCTTAGACAATATATCTCCATTACATTTAAATAGGGTTTTCATGTGCTTTTCTTGTTGAAATCAAGTTCAAGACAGTCACTTTATATATTTGAGCTACAGTTTTTGTTTTAATTGAAGAAAAAAAACTCTTCCAAGATGGAATGAAAATAAAAAATTAATATTGACAAACTGCATGCATTTTTGGTTTTATAATGAATGAATGAAAATTTTTCATTGATGAATGAACTTTATTTTTTTACATTAATGAGCAGATGAAGTTTTTCAATAGATTTGAAAAAAATTGATTGATCTTTAATTGATTTTGAAAAATAAAATCTTTGAAAAACTAGACAGCATCTTTTGTCCTTTTTTTTATGACATTAAAAAAAAAATAGGAAAAGTTAGTTTTTTATATTGAACATATAACCACGTTCATAAAGAAATAAAATAGTTTTTCAGAAAGCAAAAGCCTTTAACATACTTTGGCATCTCAGGTATTTTACTTTCTGTAATGTCAAAGAAATGCAATGCTGTCTGTTTTTACAACAGTTTTTACAGTAGGTCATTAAACAAAATTTGTCATATTGACAAAATTGAACTCTTCAACTTGTGAAGTTCATAAAAGTATTCATAGACAGATCAATAACAACATGATGCAATTGTGTTTCCTGATAGTGTTTGAGTTTTCAGAATTTAAAAAAATGTGATAAGAAACAAAGAAAGAAAAATAGTTTGGGCTTGTGTAAAAATAAAATGCATACATTTTTTCCTTTACTTGACTTAATTATTTTATTTGATATAAAAAAAAAAAAAATAAAATAAAATTGATGTTTGTAAAATATTGTAAATTTTTGCTTCTTCATTGTTACTCATTGTTTTACTCAAGAAATGGCTGATTTTTTTTCATTTTGTGTACAGTAAAATATTAAAAAGTTGTAAAAATCAAATTGTACAATTTTTTTCCTTTTTGTTTAGCTGGTGATTTTGTACAGATTTGGATTTGAATACAAAACATTGTTTTATATACATAGCATGCAAGTAGATAATTGTGTTGTCAATTTCTTCACTCCTTACCCCATTCCCCTCAAAAGAGAAAAAGAAATGCTGTCAATAAATGATCTGGAAATTTTAAAATGTTAATCAGTTAATTTCTACCAAAAAAAAAAAAAAAAAAAAAAAAAAAAAAAAAAAGACTTTACTTGTCTTTTTAAGGTTGAGTTACCTTTTAACAGCCATTAATCATTTTGGTCATTTAGAATTGTCATTAGGTGAGAAAAAAAGATGTTGGTTGTCTTTTATTCAGGGTAGGATATAATTTTTCAATGAATGACAACCAATACACAACCACATGCACTGTTTTTAACTGTTAGTATCCACCATAAAAAGACCCCCTTCTGAATTTTTCTTTTTAACTGAGACAGCAAACCACATAGTCAAGTTCTTGAATAAGAAATTTGCTTTTGAGTCCCATGTCAACCACAAGAATGAAGGCAGAAATCAAAACAAAAGGGAAAGGAAGATTACATAATCACTGATATGAAATAGTGTGGAATACTGTTTACATTTATTCAGACATATTTCCATCTCTGTTAATCATTCTTTTATATATAGACAGCGTCCTTTTGGCGCTTACTGTTCCGATTTTGTGTATGATGACTGGTGGTTTGAATGGGGCTAGCATCTGACCAGTCTGAATGAGCTGACACAGGTGAATGTGGAGATGAACTTGACCACTGGCCAGGTGAATCTGGTGAAGGAGTTAGGTAGTGATCTGGAGGAATGGGTTGCAGGTGCTGAGGGGAAGGCTCCATACTGACATGACTGTGTTGTGAGGGTGGTGTTGGATATTGTTCAATGCCAGGTGGAATCTGGGAGGACACTTTTGGTAGGTGGCTATCTGGCCGATAGATGAGGCCCATGTTCTCTGGGGTGGTGCTATTGCCACTATTAGTGTTACCCCCCAGGAATGGATACTTTTCTTGTTGGGCAGTTAGATTTTGTTGAGCATGTTGTTGCATTGCCTGCAAATGAGTAGGAGATGTTGGCAGGCTTTTTGGTTTCACTGGAGATGGAACACTAGCTGGCTGTTGGGGCACTCCAGCTTGAGGGCCCACTGGAACTCTAAGATGAGCACTGATTGTAGAAGTATTAGATACTTGCTGTTGGGAAGGAGGAGGAGGTGGAGGAGGAGGAGGAGGTGGTTGTTGAGGTGGTACTTGCTGTTGGGGTGGCTGCTGCTGCATATTTGGCACAACAGGTGGCTGCTGTGGTGTATTGAACCAGTTGGTTGACACCTCAAAATTAGACGGTGCTTTTGTGTAATGAGCTCTCATTAGAGCACGTTCGCGGTAGACGGGGTCCATTTCAGGATCCACTGTTGGGTTCATAACCAACTGCCCTGAGCAGGTATTAGGATCAAATGTGGAAATAACATCAACTACACTTTGTGGGGACTTTCCACAGGGCATGTCGCCACTTGTCATGTTTACCATGTTTACATCTGATGTCTTCTTTTTTCGAGGTTTGCCCTTCTGTGGTGGGAGATTGCCATTTGCTTTAGTTGGTTGACCGTTTGGACTCTCTTTGTTCTGCTGGTTATTCTTTGATGTTTTTCTAGGTCTTTGTTTCTGCTTTGATGCTGACGGCTGCACAAATGACATGGAAGGTGGTGATGTTGTAATGCTGTTGTGTACGGGTAATGGAGGCTGAGGATTCACGTTGTATTCTTCTAACAAGCGAACAATATCATGATGCAGTTTCTCAGCTGCCATGTCCTTCGGCAATCTGTCCATGTGGTCAGTGATATCACGATTGGCATGATAATCCAGAAGAACTTTGGCTGTTTCATAGCCACCTTCGCGGGCAGCAAGGAATAAAGGTGTTTCATCCTATAATAAGCAAAATAAAAAAAAAATTAAATTAATCATTGGAAGAGTTTAAGTAAAAAATATAGAGGGGAAAATGATGGACTAGTCCAAAACATGAGGCAGCATTGGAAAGTTCTTAGACTAGGATCCCCTGGCAGATTCTATAATTTGTTCTAATCATGTGAGTGATTGTTTGATAACAATTTTTTTCTCATATTTTCTAGCATTATGCTTCTGTGTTCAGCCTAAAGAATATTTGCCAAAAAGAAAAAAAAAAGCATCTTGTGGATTTTAGCAGATTTTCCAGGATTCACATACAATTTTATGCGAAAATCAGAGCCATTCCAACATATTATTGTAAAACCTTTAACATAAGTAGATAGCACAAAATTTTTTAATAGATTGACTCTGTATTCAAGGTACTCAATGAATGGGACAATCACAGCATAAAGGAATTTTCATATATTATTTCATATAAATACAATTAGGCTATAATAAATTCTTGAAAGAAGATAATGAATTAATATTGGCAACAGTAATGATGCAATCAGCAAATTTTCAGTATTTTTTTATGCCATATCTCTTTAGATCATAGCTAATTATGATTCTCCACACATTCCTTTTCTTTATTATTTGTGAATTGTTATGGCTTCTTGGGAAAGATAATAGAGCTGTTTCCATTGCCTTTGCCAGTTTTGAATTTATAGTTTTCTTTCTTAGACTGGTTGTCACCCAAAGCTAAAGAGCCTAGGCTATATTGTTATTTCACCTACAGCTGAGTGAGGAAGACGGCGATTTATATTAGGTGTTTAGTTTCTTTATTATGCATTCTTATTGAACCAGTTTTGCTGTTACTGCTTTGGTGCCTGAGTAGGTAATTCTGTAATTCTGAGGGGAACAATTTCTCATTCACTTGATTCTCTATCAACCATTGTGACATACCAGTAATGGGACAGAATGCACAGAGAAAAGATTCATGACTTTCTGAAGGTTATCAATTTTATGAACATAATAAACAACCTAAGCTAAAATTTGTGCTCTGATCATGGATTCTGTTTTCTCTCTTCATAATTGAGATGTTGACAATTTTTTCAGACTCATTAATGAATCTATTAAGAGTAAAAAATTTTTTTTTTAAAAATATGCTATTCAATGATAAGCCAAACTTTTGTCAGTGTACTTAGTGATAGACAATGTTCTTTTCTCAGCCACAAATTTGAAAACTGAAGGAAAGTAAATGAATTTAAAGTAAAACAATTATTTTTCATGAAATTTAGTGAAGCACTTGAAAAGTATTATGGCACTTTTTCATTATGACTATACATTTATATATTATACATACTTTTTATTTCAAAATATGAATTTCTTTTAACACAGTCCCTAAATTTCAAAGTGGCATTGAGAAATTTCGAAAATTCAAATTTGAATTTTCAAATTCTTTTATCATTTACTTTTCCCCTTTTGTGTCTACTTCATTTACAAGCACATTTTCTAGTAAATATGTTTTAAACTTAGAGCAAATGCGATAATTTTAACAAGATGAGTTTCTGTCCTGTGTTATGAGAGGAAGAGAGAGAAAACACTTACTTTGTTATCTTGAGCATCTCTGTTAGCACCATGGTGTAGTAAGACTTTGGCAGCAGCAACATTATTCACAGAAGCTGCCCAATGGAGAGCAGTTTTTCCTGGAAGAGGAGAAAGTGATTTTATATACACATTCATTCTGAAGTCATTTTAATACTATAGATAAACATATTGTAATAAATATAATGAAATTAGTAAAAATTAAAATCCACCCTACAAATAAACACCTGAAATGAAAAATAATTCAGTTTGGCTGTGTGAATCTTTTCAAATATTTGAAGATAAAATTGTCCTGATCATTCAATACCTAACGGATTTTAAATTGAATAAAATACATTAAAATTCCCAAATAAATTTAGTTTTATTTTTACATTGTTCAAATATTTGTCTATTTTAATTTCTACTCACTTTTCACAAAGCTATTATTTTTTTTTTCAAGTGCTAACCATTTTTTCTATTAATGGAAGTAATCCATTTTGACTTGCCATGTCTCATTTTAGAATATACCAATGTAAAATTGAACTTTCATAGTTTTTAAATATAAAAATGCATTCTAAATGCATTCTTTTAAATATAAAAATGCATTGTTGGCTTCAATATATTGTGAGTTCTTATGTTTTCCAATTATCAGAAGCATTTGGAACAGACAAATATGTAATCCTTTTTCCGTTATATTCTTACCAGAATCATCAGCTGCATTGATATCAGCATCAGTGTTTATAAGATCCTCAACCATTCGTTCAATGGCCAGACGTACGGCTAAGATCATCGGGGTGGTACCACAGTTCATTCGAGCATTCAAATTAGTCGATCGATTTCGGAGTAGAATCTATAAGAAAAGAGAAAAATAAAATTTTCATTCAAAGGAAAAAATGTCGGCAAAAAATAGATAAAAAGATCCTAATTTTAGTTTTTAATTAAAAATGAAATAAAACCAGTGTTTAAAAGATTAATGAGTTGAGTTAGAAATCAGAGTCTCTTAATTTATATTTGAGCAAAATTCTATGTAAAACTATGTCTTTTGCTCATTTAACTGTATTCTTGCAAGTTTAAACAAAACATTTTCAAGAATTAAAATGATTTACAAAAAGAAAATTTTTGTAGAAAAATGTTCATCTGAAACAAAAAAAAGAACATTTACCTGGAAAACTCCTTGTGCATCTGCAGAGACAGATGTGTGAAGAGGTGTTCTTCCTGTGCAGTCCTGGGCATTAGGATCAGCACCTGCTTCCAGTAATATTTTAGCAGCATCTGCTCTTGCATATCTGGCAGCCAGATGTAAAGAGGATTCTCCTAATAATGAAAATGAGAGAAAATGAAAATAAAAAATAAAAAAACTTCAGAAAATTCATATAAAGTGCATATATTATACACAGACACACAGTGATCCTTTTTGATGAGGTCATCATATACACAGTCAATCCAGAATGTATCTATTTAGAATCCCCTGAGAAACAATGGTACACCTTTGATATCACTTGACAACCAATCAGAGAGGACTTTACTGCACATAAATGAATAAATAGCTGCTTGTTGGCTTACTTAGTTAACAGACATCACATCATTTTGCATATGATTTATGTTCAGTCCCTCCTCCCTCTACAGTTCAAACCACATTGTGATTTGTGGCTTTTCCAAAAACTACAAATTGACACTGAAATGAGATTAAGAAGGACATGAAGGAGTATATAATAGAAATCATGAAAGGATTTTTGCAGACTTTTTTGTAAGAAGGGGAAAGGACACTAGAATAATTGTGTTCAGTCTCATGGAGAATACTTTTGGGGGGGGGGGACTAAGGCACCAATATCCAATGATATTTCAGCATTAATAATAAATAGATGGACACTTTCCAGATAGACCAGTCATATGATTAGTGACAAGAACTCTAAGAAATAGTTGGATATTAATTCATTAAAAGAAAATTCAATGCATAAAAGAAAAAAAAAAAAAAAAAAAAAGAGATGTTAATATTTCTTACTGGCAAAAACAGATAGATTTTAAGAGAAAGAAACATAAAATTGTACTCTTAAATTCAGTCAAAAATGGAATAATAATGGTCACCTATTAGTTATAAAGTCTCTAAAGCTTCAAGGATCTTTGGGTAGACACTTCACACAACATGGTTAAATGCTTTCTATATCATGACCATTCAAGATCTTTAAATTTTCATGGTAATTATTCTGATGAGCTTTCCTCTTTGGTAGCAAGACTTTATGAATTTAAGCACAGTACTAGATTGGCATTTAGGTCTCATCATTTCACAGTTCAAATTGCAGATGTCATAAATTCTATGTTAACAGCTTTGCACTTCTTTTTTGTGGAATTCTCTCCCAGCTTCTTGCTTTCCAGTGAAATTTGATCATCAAAAATTTAAATGCAATGTCAATAAACATCTTCTGTCTCCTTAATAATTTTTTTTTCTCAGATTCTTTCACACATCCCTTTATTGCCTTGCTTAGGCTGAAATGATTAAGAAAAAAAAATCAAATAAAACCCAAGAGTAACTTAGTATTTTAAGACAAAGATGGTTATTCCCAAAAGATAACAAATACAATGAGGAAGCATCCACAACTTACCAGTGCGATCAGTGCGTGCATTGATAGCTGCACCTTGCATTAAGAGATTAGTAATGATGCCTGTTGACTTGTCATCATTTTCTCCTTCCCCAGAGCCTTCATCATCACCATCTGTATCTAGTCCTTGGCCTCGGAAAGATGCCAACATTAGCGGTGTGAAACCATCTAAAATTGAAGTTTGAATAAAAGAAAAGTAAAAACATGTAAATATTTGTAAACTACATTAAAATTGTGGTAAATTATTTGAGCATAGTAGAAGAACTGCAGAGTGGTCAACAGTGGCAACAACAGGACAGGTAAGAGCAGGAACTGCATAGGCAATAGAATAATTATAAAATATTTCACAAAGGAAAGTGATAAAAAGACAGAAAAAAAGTGTAAAACTAAAAGTCAAAGTGAAATGTGCTTCTTTAAAAAAAAAATCTCAGATACTTTTTGAAAAAAAAAAAAAAAAAAAAATTTATATTGAGGGACAACTCGGTATTATTTCTGAAGAAAATGTAATGGACCTAATTCTTTTTTTTTTTTTAATTTTTTTTTGTTGCAATAAATCAAAAAATATGTCTACTACTTACCTGGACCTCGAACATCAACTTCATTTGAAACTTGTTGGTCATCCCCCCTTGGGGGTGTCAGTGCCAAAATTGAAGTAGGAAGATTAGCTGCATCAAAATGTCTCTGTGTCCATTGCCTGGTATCCATTTGATCGAGCTCTTGATTTGTATCAGTATTTGATTCTCCAATATCATCAAACTAGAAGAAAAGAAGATTCAAAATTTTACAAAACCTTTATTGCTTTTCTCTCTATTTTACATTTGTTTAATATTTTTATTGCTGTGGACACACTTTTACATCTTTACAAAATGTATATTGCCTGCTGTTGATCGTGTGTGTGTGTGTATATATATATATATATATATATAAAAATATAGATAATGACTGGTTATTTGTTTCTGAGCATATCCATCTGTCAGGTACTAAACCTACACCTATAGTTTATACTCTAGTGATGCTGAGCAAACCTTAGTTTACAGTTTTTGAGAGAGATCAAATAATCTGTTGTGATCAATGTTTTTTTTGTTTTTTTTTTTTAACAAGTCCAGCACTCTCAAGCCCTTGGTCACAATAATTTCAGCTAGTATCAACAGCTTCTGAATGGTTCTATGTACCCAATTTCACTCATAAATCTTGGTTTAACCTGTGTTGTAATTTTCAGGCACTTTCAAAAGGTGCCTCACACTGAATGTTCTAACTACTTATTTTTACACATACATACACACACACTATATATATATATATATATATATATATATATATATAAAAGACACTTTGATATGTCAGTCTGTAGTGTTTGTGTTATAAACTAACTAGCACACATGTGCTATTTTCAAACTTTGTAGACATATAGTAGCATACTATACAACTTGTTTTGTGATGTATAGTTATTATATTGTTTGTTGGGGTATCAGCATCTTTACAGTCATTCATTTCCAGTAACCAGCACAGTCAAGCAACAATGCAGTAGTGAAAGTGTTAATTTAATTACTTTTTTGTTTCAAGAGGTTGACAATAAGTCAATATATCTTGAAACATTTTGCTTTATAAAAATATTTAATATCAAGTCTGAACTAGGAACAATTTACAAATTGATGAATTTTGATTAAATTGAAACCAAGAAATGACAAAATGTGGAAAGATCTTTATTTTTCTGTCTCTTACACAAATTATGCAAAAAAAGAGAAAAGTTAACCTACTTTGATTCTTTTGTGCTGTGGATGGTCACAGTCATCTGCATTCCATGCATCTGTAATTGGTGTGGATCTGTTGTCATTTGCATCTTTTTTAGAATAAACTGAATCATGTGGAACACTGAAACCTTTGGGTAAGTTTCTGAGGAGAAAAAGATCAAAATATATCATAAACAGAGTATCAAGAATCAGAAGCGCAAATTTTAGATGCTCACAGGTTTCTTTGAAGCAAACCTTTTACCTAAATAATCAACACAAATATTTTGGAAGTATACAGTCACTAGAAATTCTAAGAAAAGAAGCTAAAAATACAGCTAATCCAAATATTTGTTTATAAAAATCATTCTTGAAAGTGAAATAACAATAGTTTGTAATAAGAAGTTAATATTTGATTGTACTAAATGTTTTTTTGTTTTTTTTATGGAGAGTCAAGCATTTGTTAATAACTACTTTAGTATATAGAGATTTAATATTCAAACTAGCTATGAATTTGTCATATTTATCTCCCTTATTCTTTCAACCTATCACCAAAATTTTTAATATGTTAAGCATTGTTTCCAAGGCATTGTTAAGATTTTGTTATATTTTGCTCAACATCTTGTAAAATCAGAAATTAACCTCTCCTTACTAGTAAACAGAATTATAAAAATTTGCTGACTCATTACAAACTGGTGTAATTTATATTTCAACAATGATTTATATAACCAAATTAATTTATAAGCTTTTAAGTTTTTAAAATCCTGTATTAATTTGTAGCAGCCAAGTAATATTATTATAAAATTAAAAATGTATTCACTAATCTTAAATGGAAATGTTCATTACAATTCAACAACCTCCAGTATTTAAAAAAGAATTTTGAATTTGTTTTTTGTGTGTATAAAAGTGTAATTTTGTAGATAGAGATGCCCAAACACTACATTATTAGAAAATAACAGAGGTACCTACAAAAAATTGAAAATTTATTGATAATTTTCTAACATTTTCTCAACAAGTGTCTTTTGTAAGTAAGCATATAAAGCCAATGAAATAATAGATTCCTTCAAATATTTTCTTAAATTTTTAAGATTATATATAAAAAAAAATTCTTTCAGTTCCTTCTCTCTTACTTAAATTTCCCAAACATGGGGCTATCAACAAATTACTCAACACATCAGAAAAACAGACATTCCATTAAAAAAAAAAAAAAAAATGTTTTCTTTGTGATATTTTAAACAAAAAGTAATATTTATTTCAATTCAGATTAATTAAAATTTAATTTGGCTAATTTTTCTCAAATAATGTTTCAGAAAAGTATATTTTATTTTGAAAGATTATTTAAAAAGAATTTATAGATTTTTACTGGTAAGGAGAAAAAAGATTACAATCAATTTATTTTTAGTTTGAAATGCATCGAAATATTTTGATTATTGGGAAAATTAATTTTTTTTAATCTATTAGCTTGGAATTAAAACTGAAAGTTTCAAAAAAATATTTTTCATTTTTTTAAAATGCATTTTAAACATTAGGTATTGCTTTTTTTGGGAGGGATCTAAAAAAATAGCTTCATGTGTATATATCTATAATGTATCTATATTCACTATGTATAAAATGTATGTGTGTGCGTGTGTATAAATGAGAATTTTGAAAGGACAAAATGTTTCACATGAAAATTCTTTTCTACATTGTCATACATTTTTTCCCCTGAATAATGAATGTGTATATAAAATATAAGCTCATTATATTTATTACAATAATAAAATCAATCAGTAAGCATCTCTATTAGCACCATGGTGTAAATAAGACTTTAATTAAAACATGATTTCAGAATGAATGTGTATATAAAATCAGTTTTCCTGGAAGAGGAAAAACTGATTTTATATACACATTCATTCTGAATAATGTTGTTAATGCCAAAGTCTTACTACACCATGGTGCTAATAGAGATGCTCAAGATAACAATGTAAGTGTTTTCTCTCTCTTCCTCTCATAACACAGGACAGAAACTCATCTTGTTAAAATTATCGCATTTGCTCTAAGTTTAAAACATATTTACTAGAAAATGTGCTTGTAAATGAAGTAGACACAAAAGGGGAAAAGTAAATGATAAAAGAATTTGAAAATTCAAATTTGAATTTTCGAAATTTCTCAATGCCACTTTGAAATTTAGGGACTGTGTTAAAAGAAATTCATATTTTGAAATAAAAAGTATGTATAATATATAAATGTATAGTCATAATGAAAAAGTGCCATAATACTTTTCAAGTGCTTCACTAAATTTCATGAAAAATAATTGTTTTACTTTAAATTCATTTACTTTCCTTCAGTTTTCAAATTTGTGGCTGAGAAAAGAACATTGTCTATCACTAAGTACACTGACAAAAGTTTGGCTTATCATTGAATAGCATATTTTTAAAAATAAATTTTTTACTCTTAATAGATTCATTAATGAGTCTGAAAAAAATTGTCAACATCTCAATTATGAAGAGAGAAAACAGAATCCATGATCAGAGCACAAATTTTAGCTTAGGTTGTTTATTATGTTCATAAAATTGATAACCTTCAGAAAGTCATGAATCTTTTCTCTGTGCATTCTGTCCCATTACTGGTATGTCACAATGGTTGATAGAGAATCAAGTGAATGAGAAATTGTTCCCCTCAGAATTACAGAATTACCTACTCAGGCACCAAAGCAGTAACAGCAAAACTGGTTCAATAAGAATGCATAATAAAGAAACTAAAACCTAATATATATATATATATATATATATATATATATATATATATATAATATATATATATAAATATAAAAGTATATGATTGGTATATACGGAATGAATTCCAATAACCAACAAATGCTATTCTTAAAAGAGTGCTCAATACAAAGTAGAGCAGATATAATTATTTATTTAAAAACATTTATAACAAATATGTTATCACTACAAAAATAGCCATTTTGTTTCAACACTCTCAGTGTCTTATCAAGTGATGATGTTGAATGTAAAATAAAATCATTTTATTTTACATTCAACATCATCACTTGATAAGACACTGAGAGTGTTGAAACAAAATGGCTATTTTTGTAGTGATTTTATAACATATTTATGTTATAAATTTTTTTTAAATAGATAATTATATATATATATATATATATATATATATATATATATATATGAGAGAGAGAAAGAGAGAGAAATTATTAAAACACTTTCACACTAATATATATATATATATATATATATATATGATTTACATTTGTTTTTGGAACATATGACATGTTTTACAGTGTTTTTTTTTTTACAATATAATTTTTTCAAATTTAAAAAAACAAAAGAAAATTTATTAAGAGCTACAAGGGACAGGAAATTGTGGAGGGCCATGATTGCCATGGCATATAAAGAAGAAGAATGAAATGAATAGGCAAACCAATCTTCATCTATTACTTTTTCCCCATTTTAATAGACTTTTTATATATGTCATATTCTTCTCAAGACACTCATTAAGACAAAAATGATAAAAATCGCATTTTTCTTTTTGTTAAACAAATTGAACTTTTAAGGAACAAAAATCAAGAGAAAAACTTACTTCATTTCTTCACCATCTGGTTTGCGTCGATGTGAGTGTTTAGGCGTGTCTTTACCTGGGAAGAAAAATCCTTCAGGAAACCAAGTTACTCCTCGAGTTCTCTTTCGGGACATTACTGCCATCAGTACAAAGATTATGGCAAAAACACTGGCACATGATACAATTATGTAAAGCAGTTTCAAAGATGTGGTACTTTTGGTTGTAATATCTTCAGCTGAAGAAAAAAATTTTACAAATTAATTCCAATATAACTATTTGTCAAGTAAAAAAGTAAACAAAAAAGTTTAAAATATTCTTTTCCTAATGATGAAGGTTTTTGTGACAGGAAGTTTTAAATCTTTTCTACATTTTCACATAAAAAATTATAAGATAATAAATTTAAAAACATACCATTATAAATTATATGTTAATTTAATTCCATATTTGAGTTAATACAACAGAGATTATTATAAATTTATAAATCTTTATTAGATTGTTTGAGATACTATAATGGTAAAAAAAGTAAAACCTCTAAATCTTTCAGAAGTAGACAGACTCAATTTTCATGCATTTTACGACACAATCTTCTCACCTCCAATACGGTGAATGTTCAATTCTGGTGACCAGCCATTACGGATATTTTCAGCAATGAATTCAGCAGCCCTACTGCTTGTGTGGAAACACATACTGACTTCATTATCACACTTTCTATTATCAATTTCCAGAAATACTTTTGTCCTAAAATAAAATATATAAAAAACAAAACAAAAAAAAAACTTCAAAATGAGCTAGATACAAAAACAACAAATAAAAAAAAAAAACAACTAGAAGTGATTAAAAATAAAAGCAAATGTCAATAATGATATAAACCAATGAGAACTATGAATAATGCACAAGATTTCTAGACGTAATATTCAAAATTGAACATTTTCTATAATTTTGAGAAGTTATTATCATTCTAAGAGTTGTTTGGTTAATTGAACTCATTTTTTATGCTGTAAAAAAGAAAACAAAAAAAAAATTTCTCTTTTCCAGAAAGTGTTAGGTTATTAACATAAATGATACAAAGAATGAATTTGTCCAATCAACTCTGGCAATAAAATATTATTGCTGATGCATTTCCTATTTGGAAATAAAAGAACAAAAACACATACATATAAAGTGGAAGAATGATTTTAAAGCCAGTAAATAATTTTTATAAGGTAAGCATGATTTTTCTTTGCTTACATTTTACAAACTGATGAGATGACAGTTTGAATGACAGGAAAGAAAACTATGTATGTATTAAGCATTTTATAAGTAGATAAACATATAAACTACATTAGAGTGTGAAGATCTTTCAGGTGAGTTTTTGGAAGATGATCACCTCATCAAGCAGTAAACCAATTCTGTAGGAAGAGAAGAGAGAGAACCTTTCAAAAGTGTTTCTATTCAGAAAAATAATTAATGGAGCACTGAAGCACCACTGAATATATAAAGGGACTTTTTTGAAAATGATCTTCATTTCTTGTGGACTCAACCACTGTCAACAGGAAACAAGCAGCCAACAGAGTAACATGGAAACACTGGTTCTATCAGGCAATCCCTTCTCCACCAAATCAAAACACTGATGGGGGAAAATAGAGGGAGCTCCATAAGGCCAGAGCCTGCCACTGATTGACAAACTCTCCTGTAGTTTTAGAAAAGCATGTCTAAGCCTGAGAGCCTGCAACAGGTGATAGGAACACTCCCAAATATTTGTTTGCAAAGAGAAACTATAATTTTTTTCTAATGAATTCCATGAAGAGAAAAAATGAATCCCTGATGGCCTTTAAGTATTTGTGCATCAATATCAAAATAAAGTTGAGTATAGATAACAATTATCTTGTTATCTTTTACAATAGTCAGAAGAGAGTCATCCTTACAGAAATCCTCATAGCTGTGAATATAAATAGAATTTTTACAACACTGATATCTTTAGAGTTTTATAAAGTACTATTTTTTAAAATTGAAAAAAGAATAGATACCCTGACTGATAACCAGTTTAAAATCATAGAAGCTGATTGAAAGTCTTTTCAATTATTATACATATAGCAGAAACCTATGTCATAAAATGATCTGAATGACATCAAATGTCTAATGAATTATCTTAGAGACATTTTTCATTTTATTTAGGTCTATGGTTGGTACTGAAGAAATAAAAAGCAGTCTAACTTACCCTTCAATTGAGGTAGCCCTCTTAATGCGGGAATGGTCTGTCCTTAATATCTGTTCAATATAGCGCTTCACAAGGTTGATTTTACTATGTTGTGTACCTTCTGGGTACCATGGATAGATCATCTGCTGACCCTGAGAATCTCTCTTGATCCTGACAACAGTCTTCAAAAGTATTCCCAGTTGACGAATAAACTGGGTTGCTTGTTTTTTAAATTTTTCAGGTGAAACTAGTACAATAATGACAATTGTTCCATCCGCTAGATCCTCCTTGTTTGGATCACAATCAAATCCATCCCACAAGCATTCTTTACTATTACAACCTTTGTCACAGTCTCCATTTCTATAGTGCTTAGTACAGTAGCCATTATACATTGGGTTGCAATCTTGTGTGTCAGGTGCACAGTCAAAGCCATCCCAAAGACATTCTTCTGTTTTACATTCAGCATTGCATTCATTGTTCTTGAAGACTTCCCAGCAAAATTTACCATTAGACATTTGGGTTTTACAGTTTTTGAATGGCATCATTCCCTTTGTGCATTCTTTGTTGTCATAGTCACAAGCAAATGAATTGCATTCAACCTAAACAAAAGTAGTAAAATAAAAATATTATCTTCAGATAAGTGCAGGGTTTTTTATCAGCTTAAAAAATATCCTTTATATTGAGACAACTACAACCAGCAATAACTGTTTTGTTGACATTACATTGTGCTCCTAAAAAAGATCAGTAATAATATTTAAATATTAGATTTTTTATCAAACCTTTTACTGTACTTTAATATTTTCCATTAGCTTTTGCATGATTGGAATCATCTATTGTAATTATTTATAAAAATGACATGCAATATTTATTGATATCAGAGCGAGCAATATAAATGCACAAATTTCATAGACTAAGCAAAAGCATTTGATAAGGTATGACACAAAGATCTATTTGAATGGAATTTATCTGGAAAAGATATTAGAATAATAGAATATTTACTGAGAGCAAACTGACTGTATATGAATAGAAAAGGAATTGAGCCGGTACACAAACATAGAAAAGGGTGTAAGACAAGGAGGCATGTTCTCACCTGGATTTATAGAACATTTACATCAAGGCAATCAAAAATTTCAGAAAGAAAACTATAGGAAGTCCTATAGGAAAAGCATAGTAAAGGAAAGCAGGAAGAAAGGACTAACCATCAAGTGTAAGAAGATGGAATGTACGGTTGTCAACATGAGGAAAAGCTTAAAATGTAAGCTATGAATTGGAGATATTAAAATCTAGCAAGTACAGAAATTTAAACATATAGGAAATGTTTTTAAAAGAGAACAGAAAATATGACATTGAAACCTGAAGGTGCATTGGAAAGGTAAAAGATACATTTCCAATTCATGTTCAGATTTCAATGTCACATTTTCTGTTCTCTTTTAAAAAAATTTCCTAGATGTTTAAATTTCTTTCAAAAACTAAAAGTATTATGAAACAGAAAAATTTTGTATAGTAGGGAATGCTGAACAATTTCCTTTCAGATAAAGAAATTCAAAACTAGAGATGTGGTTCTATTGATCTATAGAACATGTGAGCAATGAAGGAGTCTTAAAGAAAATAGGAATTACAATGAAACTTGCAGTTAGAATGGCATAATTGAAATTTTCTGGGATATATAATGAAGAGAGCCTGGAGAATACAACATTCACAGGTTATATTGAAGGTAAGAAGGAAACAATCTTGTGTAAATGGATGGTGAAAAGACAAAAATTGCTAAATGTGACAAAGGAAAGTTGTGGAGAGTCATGATTGGCCATGTACTGAATGGACACAGCACATAAAAGAATTCACTTTGAATTACTTTGGCTGATAAAATTGATAACAGAAAAAAAAGATTTTAACTGAAAACTGCTTCACTTACATCACATTTGTGATTGTTGGCCTTTTCTGTACAGTTCCTGTCATGACACATCTTTTTGCGCTGATTAAGCAAATCACTTTCAGATAGGGTTTGATTAAATTCACAACGTTTACCCAAAATATCAGGAAGACATCTACATTCTATACTTTCAGACACAGTTACACATGTTCCACCATTTAGACAGTAAGAACTTGTACAAAATGGTACTTCACAATTGGTTCCTTTGTAACCCTGAAAGCACAAAAAGAAAATTTGTTTTTAAATTATTTAAAGTAAATAATATTTAAATTAAAATTTTATTTGCTGCTTACTCATTTCATGAAAATAAAAATACATTTTTATTAGAGGAAACATTGTAAATTATATAACAGGTTGCTCATGTCATGTGCAATACCAGAGGAATTTCAAAACTTTTTATTTTATTTTAATGATTACATATAAAAGGTTGAAAAGTCCTCCATCATATTGATATGTGAAGTCAACTCCTGGATTATTTGGAGGAAATATTGCAGCCAGCTACAAAGAGAATTTCATAGGTGCCAAGATGCATTCTTGTTTTAGTCCGCATGTAATGGAAATTCTTCTGACAGCATGTCTTGGTGGAATATACATTCAGATATATTATCATGCATTGCTTTTGATCCAAAGAGATAAGGTGGTTGGGAAACATTCAAAACAATGAAGAACTTTCTGCAGAGCAGCTGCTGGAAAGGCCATTTTGAAGTCATAGAAAACAAAGATAAGGATTTTTTGTTGTTTCCAGCTTTTCTCTTGGAGTTGCCTGCCTGGAAAATCATGATGATTGTACCATGGAATCCACATTGAGATTCTGGTAGGATCCTTTCAGCAATGATCTGGAGCCAATTTAGAAGGATCCTGACAAAGCCTTTTCCAGTGATGGAGAATAATGATATTCTTCTATAGTTCCTACAGGCTTTTTGGTCATCTTTTATGAAGATTCTGACGATGACTTCATCTTTCTGTTCGTTAGGAACTTGTTGGGATTACCACATCTTCAAAATGAGGGCGAAAATGCTGGTTTGCAAAGGCAAGCCTTCATATTTGATCAAAAGAGATGTCTAGGCCTGGAGACTTCCTTTATCTCATTTGCTTTATAGCTTGCTTGAATTCTTGAAAAATAGTTCTGATATTCATCCATAGCTGAGGAGGATGATATGAAACGTTTCTCAGGAAGGCCTCATTTGTGCTCGAATTTCTCTTTAGAAGGGTGGAGAAATGTTCCTTCCATTGTAGGAGTATGTCTTGTGGATCAGTCAGGATGTTTGTATTGTCAGCTGCTAGAAGGGATCCAGCTGATGTCCGTACAGGTCCAAATACTTCTTTTTTGCTTCATTTAGGTTGATGATTTCAATTTTGTTTTTATCAAACCAGTCCTGATTTATGGTCTTGGTGAAACTGATGACAGTGCTTGATGTTTCTGTGACTATATCACAAATGGTTCTCCATTCTTCATCAAGGGATTGGTCATTGACTTCATCAGAACTAAGTTCCTGATTTGTTTTTTGTTTCAAAAGTGGTTGCAGTGTCAGGGTTCTGAGGTTTTGAGATGTCATATTTTCTACAAGATGGTGGCTGATGTTGCATTTTTACAAATGGTGATTCTCATGTGTGGTGACAAGGCAATGATTTGTCCAGCAGTTGTCATCATTAAGGCCCTCCTCAATTGGAGTTGCAATTCTTGATGCCTTTTTTAATGATATTTTCCCATAGGTTAGAATCTTTTGCTACCCTTGCATTGAATCTCCTAGTAATAAGAGTTTGTCCTTCAGTGGTACGTTGACAATGGTGTTACTTAGTTGTTGTCAAAATTCATTTTATCTTCATCAGCATCAAGAAATGGAGCATAAGCAGAAATGAGAGTGATGTAATTCTCTTTAGGTCCTGTAACTGAAGAGTTATGTTATTCATTGATGGCAGTTGGTGTTACGTAATGGTTTCATATGATGCAGGTTTTAATAGCAAAACTGACTCCCCCCACCCAATTCATCTTTGCCTTTCCAAAAGAGTCTTCCTTCTGATGAAAAAAAAATCTTTCAGTCAAGGCTGTGGTAGCCACATTGAGTCTAGCCAGTTCTTTTGAGACTAGAGTTGTACATCATTATGGTCAGTTGGTCTTGTCAATGTCAAGAAGTATTTTAACATTCCATGTTCCAAAGATCATATTTCTTGTTGTTTTGACCACATGATGGGTAGTCAGCCAGGTGTGATTAACCAGCTTGGCAGTGGTTGCGACTTTTGATATTTAGTCCACATTTTCTAGGACCTTCTTTAATTGAGTTGGACAGTGGTACTCCTAAACATACACGAATGCAGAACTGGATCCTATGTAGTCATTGGATCTAAGGAGGGCAGCCATCACACATTTGCTGCCAATGTGCAGTTTCAGGACTAGAAGTTTCCAGTTTCACCAAACCTGTTCATGCCATTCATTCACTATTACTGTTTGGCTTTGCAAGAGTTAGTTGGTAAAAGAAAATCAGGGTAGATGAAAGAGTCGATGGTACGAATTTGTTTAAGGGGGACCTCAACTTGCCAGGAAGTGACCTACACACTTGATTTCATGATGTTCTTCTGCAGCACACATGCCAGATCCAGTTATGAAACTGCAATAGACTGCCTCTGACTCTGTTATAATTTCGAGTAGTGCCTTCTGTCTCTCATGCGTAGCTCTCTTCATCCACTGGTTCAACTGTTGGGATCTGTTTTTCTACTGTTTGGGGTCTTTGGGGTTAGTCTGGGTCCTTCTTTTTGACCTTGCCAAGGGTGGCCCTCCCAACAGCATCGCTCTCAGTCATTGGACCACACAAACCTTTCCACCAGGGCAAGGAGTGACCATCAACAGTTGACATGTAATGTTCCATATTTGTATCTATTTGCTTATTCAAAATATATATATATATATATATATATATATATATATATATATATATACACACACACACATACATAGAAACATAAACACACATATTTTACACTGGATGTTGAAGTAAACAGTTCAACAAATGTATCACTTATTAAATTATTATTACTTTAAATGACAATAGAAAACAATCAACAAATAAGAAAAAAAATTTACCACCAAATATATTAGAAAATTTTTTTTAGTATTATTAAAAATATTTGAAAGATAAATAATATAAGGAAGAAATCGAACCAATAGTAAAAAAGTAAACAAAACAAAATAATGTTATGACCCGATCTAAACATCTAACACACATGCAACAAATCTCAAAACTTCAATATGTTGATGACAATGTTGCCTTCTGTCATTCAAAAGAACTTCAACAGTATATGAACAATTTTACTATGACCTACCACTGTTTTGGCCTTACAGCAAACATCAAGAAAACCAAGGTCCTTGCACAGCCAACTCCAAATACTATCTTACCAGATTCCGATATTACCATCTCTGATACACCTCTTGGACAAGTGGAACATTTTTTTCATATCTAGGTAGCCTTTTATCAAACAAGTGTGCATGGAAGAGTTAAGGTTTTCACATGTCAAGTCTTATTTAGTGAGCTCACTTCAGGGAAAAGACCCACGGGGATTGCCCACTTTGAACATACAAGAACAACTTCAAAACAATACTGAAAGCCACTTGAGTCTAAATCATTTGAAACACATGCACAGGACTGTACCAACTGGTGATGGTCCATCACCATTGGAACCAAAAACTTCGACGCAACTAGAAGAGAAAAGGAAGAAGTCAAATGACAAGAGAAAAAGGTATGACAAAATCAACTTTGTCCTCAACCAACATTGCAATGTAATCAATTCCATTGGCGCTTCCATACAAGAATTGGTCTACTTAGTTATTAATGCCATCATCATAAAGAAGTGATTAAATTTTTGGATATGAGATAAAGCCACTGCCAATGACATAAAAGAAAGGAAATACTGTGAATAAATAGAGCAAAATTAAATAGGAATTCAAAATGCTGAGCATTTAAAATTTATCCATGTTGTCATGTGTTATACAAAATATTAGCAAGCTTAGAATTTACAAAAGATATATTTTTGTCACCTTTACATTATAATCTGTAAAATCTCACTCTAAGTGAATATTGATATTGTCGCAAGATGAAACTATTTCCCAGAGCCATGAATGAGAATCACTAAATATTAACCCCCAAAAGTAGAGATTCATGATGTAACTGAATTTTGTTGTGTTTGGTTTAAAATCTGTTTTGGAAAGATTCTATAAAAATCAGAAAAAACGATTGTTAGTGTTCAGGAATTAATGAAAGAATCACTGATAAAATAAAACTATTATTTTCAGTGTAAATGCGTTACTAATGATTTTACTGTAAAAATGCATTAAAAAACCAGAAGAAAAGGGTTGTTGGTTGTCAAGATTTAATGCAAGTATTACTGATAGATGTAAAATATTAAAACTATGAATGGGTTAAAAGAAAAACCTATAAAATATACAAACTAAATTTTTAGTCTTAAATTTATTTACATTAGAACAACTAGATTCTAATTAATGGTCACCAACCATAACAACAAAGCAGAAACACAAAATAGTTTGCAAAATGTTATATGTGTGAATGACAGAAGAACTCACCTCAGGACAGAGGCATCTCTGATTAATACAGACACCCCCATTCAAACATTTGCTCTCAGGACAATGGTTGGCAGGTGTACCATGATATATGGAACAGGTTTTACCTAAAAACATTGAAAACAGAACAATTGTAAAACAAAATATTTTCTCAATTGAACTTACATTTAAATTACTCTATAAATTATCAGTTGCATTTTTATGTAGCTAATGATTCCTATGAGTGATGCAAACATTTTACATGAAAAGCAAATTAAAGGTCATAAGCAAAAATAAAATATTTAAACACCAATTTTCAGACATATGCATAGCAATGCACACTAAAAATTTTAATTTGTATTAAAATCAAGTACAGAGAAACTATAAGTTTATCTAAAACTTGCAAAATAATTGTAATGAAAAATTTTGAAAGCAAAAATAAAAGTAGTATATTTCTAGGAAGCTTTGTTATTGTATAGAACATTTGTTTTTTTTACCTATGAATTTCTATAGATGTCAATGCTGTTTGTACTTTCCAGTTTTTGTAAAAATTTAAAGCAGAGCAAGCAATTAATTTATGTTAATAATTAAGTATATTAACAAAATTCAATTTGTAGCCTCTGGGAGTCTGTTCAATCTTTCCGTTTGGTATTTGCTATTGGTATTGATTACTTTGATCTAAAACCTTGCTTTATCCTGTGTGTTCAATTTAGATCATAAGGCTGGTGAGGGTCAATTGTTGACAGGAATGGTTGAACTAGTCTGGACCAAACAAAGTAAAGTCACAAGTTTAAAAAAAAAAAATAAAAAAAAAATTATGTGACATTTCTTATACAGAATTGGTAATACAAATTTTGTTCCCCACACAGGATTATAGGTTCTTCAGGCAGGCATATCTTGACATGCAAAGTCACTCAACCCTTCCCTCATATTTTGTGACACCTTGTTTGTTGTGACTAAGTTTAGACAAGTTCTCTGGAACACAGCTCAAAGTAATGTGAAATGGTCATCTCTCACTTGGTGTTAGCCACTTCTCCTGGTCCCATCTGTTTCTGCCTAAGCACGAGACAGACAGGACCAGAAGAAGTGTTTTATAGGCCCTAACCCATAGAGTGGTGGGGGTCTTCAGGTTTTTCCCAATTACTGGACTAATTAATTAAATTCTAACAAAGTTCCTTTGTTTAGAATTTTTCTGCAACATACTCAATTTTTCCCAATTTGGGAGTTATCTTGTTTCGTGGGTAGAGGGCACAGGCCTTGCTCCTTCCAGTTACTCCTGCTGCCTTAAAGTCATGCCTCCAACCAGTGTTTCTGATTGGTGGAGACCACTATTGGCACAGACTCTTCAGTCTACCGGGGGAACTATTTTTCTGTGTCTTCCTTCAGCTAATACTTCCTCAGAGCCATATATTCATTTTCATGATATTGTTTCTGTATTTCAATTTTTTCTGAGTTTATTTTATCTGTCATGACAGTTCAGCAAGCACAAATCCATTGTTATTTAATCTACCTTTGGATTGTGTTTCCTTGATAACTGGAATACACTTTCCCAGAATTCAGCCATGTTTGAAATTTACTATGATATATGAGCCTTCTGTTCAGTATCTCTACCCCTGAGAAAATATATTCTTTCCTTTCTCTTTTTTTTTTTTTTCTCATGGCCTTTGGACAATTTCCTAACCCATATTATTTGTTTTAAACAATGATGTCTCTTGGTGATTCAACTTTACCAAATTCATTCTTTTCTGTTGATAAGTGATAAAATAAAACAATTATTTTTTTCTTCTTTGTACAAAAAGAAATCAGATGTTCTGGGTTGGGGGTGCCTTCCATACTCCGAATTTACAAAATCTGGTCACATATTTTTGGGTATAGCTATCTATATAACCACTGTCTCCTAAGGTGTTTCATCTCTTTTGGTATAGCTAGCAAGCTATCTCTTTAACCTTTAAGGTGTTCAAAATTAAGAAATGTTAAAACTAACAAATCATTTAAACAAAAAAAATTCTTCCATGAAATCTAACACAATTTTAAAAGAAATTGTCAAATGAGATCTAAGGGAGATAATTTAGTGTTTTACATTTTAAAGTGCATCTAATTTATAAAAATTAGAGAAAAAATATGATCTTACCTGTCCATCCAGGTTTACAATTGCAACGGTAGTTGTTAACAAGTTGGACACAGCCTCGAGACCCAACAGGATCACAGGGTTGTTTAAGACATTCATTGATGTCACCTTCACACTTGTTGCCAACAAACCCAGGTGGACAAATACACTCAAATCCATTCACCTTATCCTTACATGTTCCTCCATTATGACAAAGACCATCATGGCATTCAATGAGATTGATTTGACAGAGTTGACCTTTAGTACCTGGAGGACATGAACACAAGAAATAACCAGTCATATCATGACAGGTACCACCATTTTGGCATGGCTTCTTTTCACAGTCATTTATGTTTAAATCACAGTCTTTGCCTTGAAATCCTATGGCACAGCTACAGCTATATTGTGAAATCAGATCTGTACAATTGCCACCATTTTTACAAGGACCTGATGCGCAATCATCGATATTAACTTCACAATAACTGCCAGTAAAACCTGGAGGACACATGCACATATGGCTATGGTTACGGTTAATACATTTTCCTTTGTTTTTGCATAACTCATTGGCCCTCACACCTGAAAATAAATGATAAATAATAGTAAATATGCTAATTTTTTAAATTACACAACAAATAATAAATCAAGATGGCTTCCTATATAATACTGAAGATTGAATTTTTTGAATAATGGTAATCTTACTTAAACAGTTTTTCTTATTCAAAAAGTAAGGTATATTATTTTTTAATACAAACTATTTTTATTTAATGATATTTATATTTAAAATAAAATCTGTTTAATGTATATATTTATTTGTAATGTAGTTTTTTTCTGCAAAATGTTTCTACCATTAAGTAAAATCACAAACGTTTTTTTTAAAATGCAATGTGCGGTGTTTCTGGATTCCCAAATAAGAGTTGATAGTATCAATAAAGCTATTTGCAACTATTATTCACATTTTTGTTACATATATAAGAAGTTTTTCAACTGGTTAATTTTCTCAACTTCTTCACTGTTTAAAAACTTTTCACATTAATTTTATTTACATCTGCAGCTTCATGTTAATTCAAATACAAATTCAAAAATTTCAAATTTACTGTGCAATTCACAAACCTTTAGTTTTAGCTGCTATTTCACATGTTGTACGTAAAATATCACAAGTGACACCGGTCCAGTTCTCTGTGCAGTTGCATCTAAATTCGTTGGCTGTTTGATGACAGCTGCCTCCATTCTTACAAGGATTATTGGAACACCAGTCAATGAAGTCTGAACACTGTGGACCACTAAATCCATAAGGGCAGAAGCATTGGTAAGTTGTGTTGCGATCAACACAAGTAGCAGCATTGTGGCAAGGATTTGAATCACATGGCTTGATAGCAGTCTGGCAGTTGGAACCAGAATAACCTAGAGGACACTTGCAAGTATAAGAGTTAACACCATCAATACAGGTGCCACCATTTAAACAGGAACTGAAAAACGAAAAAGTGAAGTGTATTAGGTGTGTGCAAAAGTTCCCAGCACACCTTAGTAGAGAAATAATTAAAAAAAAAAATAATTGTGTTGTTTTAAATTAAGAATTTCAAATCAGTAAAAAAAATAAATGATGCAGCTATGAACAATACAAAAATTGTTATCTTTTTTATTTTCATGTGAGTGATTGATGACAGGAGTTTTTCATTAGCTGTTTTCTGAATATCAGGACAATGGTTGGCAGGTGTACCATGATATATGGAGCTAGACTAAATTTTGTTTCATCAAATGCATGTATGAAGTTTTAAATATGAATAAACAAAATTTGAAATATATAGTGCGCATATATATATATATATATATATATATATATATATATATATATATATATGTGTGTGTGTGTGTGTGCACTGTTCTAAATGTTCTTCAATTAAAAATATTTTCCTTTAAACTATGGGTTTAAAAAAAAAAAAAAAAAAAGATTACTGGAACAATTATTTACTTACCTGGATGTACAATCATTATTGTTTTGATTGCAGTGAGTGCCACTGAATCCTGGCTGACAAATGCATATATAAGAGTTTACATAGTCTTTACACTCAGATCCATTATAACATGGATTTGAAGCACACTCATCAATGTCAGTTTCACAATGGTAACCACCAAATCCATCTTGGCATTGACAGGTGTAGTTATTAATATCATCAAGACAAGTCCCTCCATTTTGACATGGAGCTGAAAGGAATAAAATATTGTAAATAGAGAGAGGAGGTATAGTTTTTAAATCTGTATTGGATTAATTTACTTTTTCATCATCTATAAATCTCAATTGTTTTATATTTTATGGACACAACATCTATGCACAATAATGTTTATAATGAATCTGCTGACTCTCCATGGAGCATAGGATTGCATAACACCATATCAGACAATGAAGCTGTAGTTTTAGCAGAAAACAGATTTAATGAAGTGACATTTTACACCTAGCCAGATTGAATTCAGACTTGTTATTCTCATAGACTGGTTGCTAACTAAGGCTAGAGATCTCAATCTGACCAGCTACTTTATATCTAAGGAAAAGTGATGGGTTCATGCCTTTCCCATGGGCACATATGCAGTCAATATATACATATTCTAAAATTTACTTTCTGATTTGACAAAACCAGATTACTCATAAGCTGAAAAGTTCTTAGTCCAGTGAAGAAGAAATTTAAAAAATATTTAGTCAGATTTTAGGGAGCAAATCAGCCTGATAACTTTTCAACACCTCCCCGCTCCATCTCATACAATATGAATGCACAAACTGAAAAGGCTGTGTAAACCTCAAAGACTTAAACTTGTGTAGAATGAGAACTTTTTGTGTCAGTCCAATACATATATAATAAATTATGTAATAATTTAAATTAAAGAATTTGATATTGCTTGGTATGAATAAACAATTTCTATAAAAAGAGAATTTACAAAATAATTAATCAACAAATCAAGGAAACAATATTGGAAGGTTCTTAATTTTTATTTAACTTCTGTGACTGTTAATTGTATTTTTATTTCCAGAAGTACAAGTGAGAGTTGATATTTATTAAGCTTAGTACATGAGAAGGCAAAGGTCAGATATAAAAAAAAGAGAATAGAAAGATTGTATCATACCAATCTTTAAATTGGAGAATGTCTAAATGTCTAGAAAGTCAACAAATGACATTTTTGTTTTTGGAACTAAACTTTGGCACTAGTACCAACAGATAAGATAATTCACTTACAAGTTCCATTATTTTTGGAGATAGAGACAATTTTCTTACAAATATATGTAAGTTAAGGAAAAGACAAAATAAAGTTTTATTTTCCTGTTCTAATTTCATTTTAAGAAAAGAAATAAAATTATAAAGTACAAAAATTCAAAACAGAAAAGAAACCTAAAATGGTGATAACTCTGTCTCATCATTTCACTTCACTGATGAAATTGCTAAATGTAAATTGGAAAGTTCTATTCTAATAATTTCTCCTCTCAAACTTCTTGTCTGTGAAGCTCTCTTCCAGCTTCTTGGTTTCGCATCAATTGCGATTTCCAAAAATTTAAATGCAACATCAATCACCATCTTCTGTCATCTGGAATCTTTGTTCTTTTTATTGTTCTTTCTCCTCAGTAAAGTTTTTTCAGTTTCCTTCACTCTCAGTAACCATTTGTGCCTTAGTGGCTTTATCACTTTGTTTGGGGTGAAATAATTCAAACTAAAAAAAATCGAAATAAAATAAAATTTGACTGTATATATTGTTTATAGTTAGTTTGAAAGTGTTGATACTTACATGAATTACACTCATCTTTATTAATTTCACAGTTATTGCCAGCAAATCCGGGTCTGCACCTGCAGTGATAAGAACCAAACTTGTTGATGCAAGTTGCTCCGTTTCTACATGGTGCACTTATGAAGCACTCATCACGGTCAGTTTCACAATTACGGCCTAAAAAATAAAAAAAATAATATGTGTATTAGAGCATAGCTAAAGCTATTTAACTTATCAAATGCAGTTGATATCATCAGAGTCCATGACCCGGGTACTTCAATGTGGTGTATCATTAGCAAGCTTGTTCCACTAGATTATTTATGTAGTGAGTTAGATCCACACTGTGTATCCCATACTTTCAGCCATATCTAATTTACACTTAGAAATAGCAAACTTTTTTTTTTTTTTTTTTTTTTTTTTTAGTATAAAGCAATTAGTATTACAATGCAAAATAATAAAAATAATTGATCTATTACCTTCAAAACCAGGAGGGCAGTGACACTGGTAATCTGTATATCTATTAATTGGTTTACATGTTCCATGAACACAAGGATTAGACTGGCAAGGGGCAAGTTTTGTCTCACAGTTTGTTCCAGTGTAGGCATCATCACAATAACATTTGTACATGTTCAATTCATTTGTGCACTTTCCATGGATACAAGGATTACTAAGACATTCATCAGTATCAATTTCACAATTGATGCCTGCAAAAGAGAAATGGGGGAAAAAGACATTGTATGTTTATTAACCTAAGTGCAAGTATGTTTCTAATGAGAAAAAAAATAAGTAAGAATGCTCTAAAAATGCAGAACATTTATAAACATATTTAAGAGAAGAAAATCAAGAGATACAATGGCTTTAACACACCCAAGTTAAAGAGATGGATTAAATCTTAGAATTATTACATAAGGAACAAGTAATAAAACCTTTACAAAATTAACATGGTTCAATATTTATTTATCTACAGAAACTTTTGGAGTGGAGTTATGTTTCAAATTTTAAATTCTGTTTCTGTTCTATTTTGTTTTCATTGCTTGTGTAAATATCAAGTATAGGCATCTGTGGGTATGTTTAATTCTTGAAATGCTTGTGCAATTTAAATGGGTATTCAAATTGGGTATATCAGTGTATTTTAATTGTAGGAAGTAAATGTGTAATATTAAAATAAACACATAAAAAGTTGCTGTGGTTGACAGCTAGTGCCACAAGAATTACATGTCTTTTCATTTTCTGTATCATATTGGAAGTTGCCATGTTTAAGCTGTTGATATGTCTGAAAGAAAGGTGTTGTTAAAATTTGGCACATAACATGTAACATATCAGGTCATCTTCTAATTGTAACCCACTTATGGTGTGTTCTCAAATACCTGGCACATTCTGTACATATTAATGTATTTATAACATTTATGTTAAAATTTATTTTTAAAATACACCATAGAAAAGACAAGTAAATGTATTAAAGAAAGCACAAAACAAAAGAATCAAAATAGGTTAACATTAAGAAAATAATAAATCTATTCTTACCAGTATATCCAGGTGGGCATTGGCACTGATAGTAATTGTGATGTTCTTTACAGGTTCCACCATGTTGACATGGATTTGAAGCACATTCAAGAATGTCCAGTTCACAGTCCTGGCCAGTATAGCCAGAGGAGCAAACACAGTCATATCTGTTATAATTTAATGAAAATTAACAGAATTTAAAAAATACAATAAAATATAAATAGATGTTATAGAAAAGGTATTTTACATTTATTAAACTTAGACTAACATAAGGCTACAATACAGGATCTCCCAATGAGAATCAATCTCTCTAATAATGGCCTGTGAGATATGACTGTCAGTCACAGCTCTGTAGAAAAGTATCTAGTTATACTTGTTCTGAAGTCATCATTATTATTAACTTCATTGTTTCAATCACTGTTTTAGCGGCTAAACTCCAACATTACTCAGGTGTTGAATTTAGGAATATTTTTTTTTGTTAATCTTCACTTCTTCTTATGAGATTCCTACTTACATTCATTTGAATGTAACATTAGAACAGTGACTGATCTTAAATATTCAAAATTCAAATGTTAAATAATGTGGTTTGTGTTATTCTTACTTGATTGTGTACAAGTTTTTATTATTATGTATTATTTGCTGATTAATGTTTGTGAGCAGGTGAATCACTTGATTGTATACGCATCTCATGGAAATTTAAGCAATCTTTTTGCAAAAGAAAAAGAAAAAATTTTTTTTAAAAAAGTATAAAATTTTACACAAATAGACATAATCTGAATATTGCTTTATGCTTAAAATATACTTTTTTTTTTTTTACTACTAATCTAAGCTTTTTTGGGCTTATAAGCTTCATGCATTATAATAATAAAATAGTGTAATTAACCAAAACTTATTTTTATTCAAAATTTGTTTTGACAACATGAAATAGGAAAGAAATAGTATATAAAACTTGGGATTACTATACAAATACTTGCCAAACGTTAAAGAATTACTTTATGGTAACTATTTACATTGTTCGGACTATTGTCCTCATCTCTATTGTCATATTTGTGACATTTTGGCTGTTGTATGCGTTCGCCTTATTCAGATGATATACACTGGAATTTCAAACCAAACCCTTTATTTCATCCACCTGGGTAGATTGTTGTAGTATCCTGAACCATGTCTTTTCTAGAGATCTCAGTTATATCACCTGAGGAAAACTGGAGCATACAATGGCTGAAACGTGAATATGCCAATAAAGACGAGGGCAATAGTCCAAACAATATAAATAGTGTAAATAGTTAGAATACCTCATCTCCGGAATATAGACAGATATTGCTTTATGCTAAATAGGTCTATATAGAATGTCATTTCCCGCCTTTGGTTTGTGGCATTTTTGTCTATTCTGGATTAGAAACTTTATGCTTAGCTTATTAATTGATCCCTAATTTTGCTAGCATTTATAGTCTATAAAGTGTCAGTGTAGAGTCAGGTAATCTCTGGGTCAGTACTTCTCCATCTGTCCCAAGTCAGTCCCTTGGATGCCTTGGCAAATGGAGATAAATGAAGCCTTCTAACTTGTTCTATAACAAGTTGTCCAATCACTAGTAAAACATTTCCTTCCTCCATTTGCAGAAAAGTAAAAGGGCATAACAAAAAAATATAATGAAAAACCTTAGAAAATGTTCACCTACCGATTAATGCCATCAACACAAGTTCCACCATTTATGCAAGGATTTATACGGCATTCGTTGATATTAGACTTGCATTGTGCATCATGATACCCATGAGGACATATACATTTGTAGCCATTGATATGGTCAATGCATGTGCCACCATGAAAACAAGGATTAGAAGCACATTCATCTATATTTGTTTCACAATAGGTACCTAAAAACAAATAAAAAAAAGAAATATAAAGAAGATAAATAGTAAAGTACAAATAGAGAAAGTATTACATTTTTATTAGAAATTTATTTTACTAGCAAAATTTATTAATGATTGATTGAGTCCTTGCTGCCAAAAAGGCTTTTATCTTAAGGTGCATATAATAGTTTCCTGCATTCTTTCTACTGATTACCTTTCTTTCCAAAATAGAGGATTCTGGGAACTTTTTCACATATCTAATAAACAGTTATTAACATAAAATATGAAAATGTTAAAACTTGGTTAGTGAAATACCAAGCTATTAGATTAAGAAAAACTGTTTACTTAAGTGATAAAAAAAATAATTTTGCAGTCAAATTCAGACCAGTTCAAATACACACTTTTTCCATTCCTAAAATGAGCAAATTGTTCTCTATAAGAATGACAGAAAATATTCTGATACAAAGACATTTTTTAGGCCCCATTATTTAAAAAGATACATGCATTTTTATTCTAAAATTTTATCTTCAATGTATTTTTCTCATTTCACCCATTTCATATCACCCCAACAATTTACATTTATGAGATTTTAAAATGTGACCAATTTTATCTCTTGGACTTGAACCAATTATTTTAGATTCACTTGCTATGCCAACTGCAATTTGGTTCTGTTACCTTTGAACCTCACTCAGTTATTACAACATAAAGTTGATATTTATTAGAATATGTTGTCAACTTTGACACACCCACATTCATATGTAAACAAAGATTTCCTAAGGTTAAATTGAAAGGATTTTATAAGGTTGGTTTCAAATGTATCCAACCATTTTCAATATTTCAAGAACTGGTGGCATAGTCTTGATGTTACTTTATAACTAATCAGAGGGGATACCATACAAACAGATTTCTTCACGTCTTGTGTGTGTTTTTTTAATCTTTTTGCAAAATATCATATCACCTAATTTCCATCTGAGATAAAACACAGTGAATTGGAAACTTACTTGTAAATCCAGCCAGGCATCTACATTCAAATTTATCAATGCCATCAATACAAGTGCCATTATTGTGACAAAGATTTTGAGCACATTCATTTTGGTCGTTTTCACAGTTGCGGCCTGTCAAAGATTAAATGGAAAAAGTTTTGATATTTTTGTCTTATTTAAATACTTGCACAGTACTCATAAAAATAGAATTATTTACTTTTGAATAAATTATACAAATATACAAATTTTAATTGTATTTACTGCTAATAAAAAATATGGAGATGTCAAATGTATTTTTGATGATTTTCTACAACTAATCATATTTTTTGTTTTTTAATAATTTTAAAATAAGATAATGAAACTGAGACCTCAGCAGCAGCAGTTGAATACTACCAGTTAACACACAAACACAGTATTACCCCATTTGGTGTTTGTAATTCCTTGTTTGTTTAGCAGTGAACACTGACAAAAAACAACAGGCAAATAGTAACAAAGGCTTTTATATCATAAGATTACATAAATGTTTGACATTTACTGACTGAGCAGTCAGTACTCTCTTCAGTGAAAATTTATAAAATCTTTCTCTTAAATCATTCTTTCAGGAAAACAGGTTTCTCAAGTCCAGTATCACTCTTTCCAATATTGATGGGGGTTTCCTTCCTAACTTTCTATTTGAAGTGATGAGGAATGTTAACATCTTTATTAGGTCATTATTTTCTCTTCATTTGCTATTCATTTTAGTTGTTGCTGCTGTTGGTAGTCCTCAAGTGATGCAGTTTCTATTATTTGGTACAGTTACCAAATACAGCATGCTTTTGATACAAGCAGCCTTAAATTCTGGCACTTCAACTACCTGGAATTTTATTTCTTTTAACATAATTCAAGATAATGCACTGAGGAGTCATTCTAAGAACACAAATATAATAAATTAATTTTTATATTTTAAGTTAGAGAAATAAATGCTTTCATCTATCTTAAATTTAAATTTTTATATTACTTATTTCCAAAATGTAATAACAAAAATAATTTAATAAACTATTTTTGTTTGATTTTAGATAGTGACTATCAGCAAAGATGAAAAGTGAACAATGACACTAGGCTACCATTTTACAAATAAAGAAATGAATAAAAATCAAATAATTTTTTGGAAGTGTACATTCATGATAAACTGAAACTGGTTTGTAATGTTTTTGTGACTCAAAACAATGCTTGTTCAATGAAATAAAAAGGGAACCAGATTTACCAAAAGTGCCTTGAGGACATCGACATTCGTATGAATCATGAACATTCATGCAAGTGCCTCCATGTTTACAAGGATTATTGTCACACTCATTGATCTCTGTCTCACAGTGACGTCCTGTATAACCTTTGTTGCATCTGCATGTATAATCAGACACATCATCTTCACAAGTACCATTTCCACAGTTTATACCTGCACAATCATTGACATTTTCAGCACAAGAGATGCCTTTATATCCTACAAGACAAAATATGTGATTTTGAAAAAATATTAAAAAGATGAAGTAGTAACATTTTTATTTTATACTTGATTATTCTTTTCACCCTTTCTGACTAAGTTCAGTGCAATAAAGGTCAATACACTCTCAGTATCCACCTATTATCTTTTCATAAGGATAATTATATAGGGACTTTCTATGGATTTAAAAGACTTTTTTCTCCATTCTATTTTGAGGGAGGACACCTTTTTTTTTCTTTTTTTAAATTTTTTAAAAATAATTGGACAATTTTTACAGTTTTGTGTTATCAATCACAAAAAGCAAGAAATCAATAAGTGGTTTCTTGCTTTTTGTGATTTGGTAGCTGATTAATCAATATTACCTCCCTTGAAGATATTTTTTTACATTTTTGGGACAGTTAATTTCATTACTCAGTTTTTTACCAACAAATAATTTTCAAAATTAACAAAAGAATTTCTGTAATTCCAAAAGAAAGGAGCCTTCATTTGGTGTTCTAATTTTAATCCAGATTTTTTTTATATTGAATAAACAGCAATTTTTTTTTTTTTTTGTTTTGCCTAACCCTTGATACAGGACAACATTTCTTATTTCTCTACAATTATAAACATAAAAAAAAATATATTAAAAAAGGTGATTCAACCAATAAAGTTCCTTTAAAACAAAATAAAAACATTAACACATCAATAATGATTGGAATCATCATAGTTTAATTCAATATGGAACCTTTTTTTAGTAAATGTTCAATTTTAGATTATAACATGACTTGACACAATAGATTCAACATTACTGAAATTGCCTGATAAGATTCAGAACAGGATCATAGTTTCAGGCATGAAACCATTGATTTTATCCTTCCTATTACCAGTCTGTATAATCCACTGATATTTGGAAATCAAAATGTAAAAGTCAGAAAATTGGACCTATTCTCTTCAAAAAATAGAGTATAACTCAAACCAGAGTTACTCTGAATCATTATTTGTACAAAATGTCATAGAACTTTTGCAGTTAATAGTTAGATATAAGCAGTTAACTCAGAGATTGGCTTGAAATTTTAATTATCTAACACTAGTTAGATCAACTAGCAGAGTATCCATAATAAATTATGTGATTATTTATTGACACTTCTGTTTTGCCTAATATCAAAGTGTCATTCATTGGTGTTCTGCTGAGGGTCTGTGTATTATCTGTGCTTTCTGCCTAGCTTAGTATTTGTAAGCAGCAAAATGTTGGCAGAGTAGATAGGTTATTTAGCTGCTTCCATATGTTCAAATCAGGGCAGGAATCATTTGTTAATTTTTATATATCTATCACATAACAGAAATCAGGAAAAGAGAGAGATAGAGAGTGAGAGAGAAGCAAAGAAAGACAAAAATTCACACAGAATAAGTAATAAGTGAATGTAGGCTGAGTAAAGCAAAACAAAGTTATAAACAGATAAAACCAAAGTTGTTTCTACTTACCTGGCTTACATTTACATTTGTAACTGTTCCGTTGGTCAATACATGTACCATGATTACAAGGATTACTAATGCATTCATTAATATCAGTTTCACATCTCTTGCCAGTGAAGCCTTAAAAAGAAAAATACATAATCAATGTACAACTGTGACACAATAGGCCCCTACTTGATTAATTTAAACCTCCCACATAATCAAGTAAATATAAAATGGCTAATAAGTTTAATTTGGGGCTTAACAAATAAGAGATTCATTTCAATATACTTTTGTTTCATTCTAGAAATATTTTTTTCAGTCTCTCTCAGACACACACACACACATATATATATATATATATATATATATATGAATAAAGACAAAAGAAAAAACTTATCTTAACCAATATGTTTCATCCACTGTGAGACTTTATCAAGGCAAATGCAAGGATTTTATTTTGTAACAAGAGCAAAAAAGTTATTGGTTTTTCAAAATTTTTGAGTTAGGAACACGCATCAACATTCATTAGCTATGGGATGCATGAAGTGATACAATTCAATGTCTAATAAATGAAAGTGAGTAAGTGGTGTTTTGGAAATTTTTTTTTTTTTTAAATTTTTTATGAATTAGTATTTAGATTAATTTAGTTTGAGATTAATTTATGTGTTATGTATTTTAAATAACATTAGGTCATGGTCTAACAGTTTTCTTTTAATTTTTTAACATTTTTGTAGTCATGTATGTTGACTTGAGAAAATAATAAATTCTTTCAGTAATTAAGATATTGGAAAAAAAATTGGAGGTGCAGATTTATATTTTGATAAGATTCAATAGCAGCATTCTCGAAAATTTTCCTTCTAAGTAAGTTACTTTCTCTTTTAATAAGTGTGGATCAAAATTGTGGTTGAATTTCTCTGTATTAGTTATACAGAGAAATTCAACCACATTTGATAAATTGTTGTGTATAAAGATACATTTTGTTAAATTTCTGCAAGTTTCCCCAATATATTCTGAGGAAAAGTTCTGGCAAATTATTCTATATATACCTGCTTCAGAATAATTATTGTTATGGGTATTTTTGGTTCTGATCATACCCATAATAGTTTTGGATGTAGTTGTAATTATTTTGATGCTATTGAGTAGGTTGTTTTGGATAGTGGATGTTATGGAGTTTGTAGGTAGTATTATGTATCTGTTTTTATCTAGTTTATTGTTGTCAATAATGTTATCTTTTTTTGCAGTCATATTTTCTGCATGCTTTTCTCTTAGCATTGTGGATGAAATAATAAAGATATTGGAGATTTTTGAGATATTATATATATATATATATATATATATATATATAATAAGCAATATTTGGATGAGTATTCAACAGAATGGTAAATATATGTAAAAACTACCATTTTGAGATTTTCGTAAATAAAATGTCATCAGAAAAAGGAATTTCATTGTAACAAAATCTGTATTTGTGAGAAAAATGTGATTTGTGTTAAGTATTAAAGTAAAAATCAAGTGTTCATATGGTTAGCATGCATGATGTTTTCTCTCACTAATGTAGATTTTGTGGAAATCAAATTCTTTTCTTGATGATACTGATTCATCAGCAAAACATGTCAAAATAGAAGTTTCCAAATTGACACACATATAAGAAAAATAAATTTAAAAAAATGTGTATATATTCTTATTATAAACAGAAAAAATATTTACCTGGTTTGCAATTGCACTTGTATTCATTCTGCTTGTCTTCACAAATACCTGAATTGGCACAAGGCTGTGAATTACACTCATTAATGTTTTCAGCACAAGTCACACCAGTGAAACCTGACAGACAAAAAGATATTCAATAATTTAAAAACTTCTAGTACATAAAAAGTATCATCTTACATATAAAGTACAGTGTATGTGCATGTATCTGTCCAAACACCTCCTCCACTCCCACTAGTCCAATTTCAATGATTCAGAGTTAATTCAAAAGCCCTAGAAAAGTTAGGTGCAGGGAATGATTTTTGTTGAGCTTAAATTTAGAGTTGCCAGATTATGCAAGGTTAAATATATATATTAATATATTATACTAGCCATTATCATTGCTTTCATGGTTCAAGGAGAGTAGTTATTTTCCTTTTGTATCCAAAATTGCAACTATCTTAAAATTTTTCTATTGGGGAGCATTTAAGCTAACTCCTGTAGAGGACTTTTGGTTTGGCCATCATTACAATACCTAGGGTGGAGTAGATGCGATAGGCATCAATAGAAGAACTCAAAATTGATCGCTACATTTAAGTATTGAATTAATGTTTAAGCTTACCTTTTAAAAGTTCAACGATAATTCTTCTGCTGCCACTTAATTTAAAGATGATTTGGTGTACGTAGAACCTTATTTTCCATATAAACAATTATTTTTATTTCATGGGTGACAGAACAGGGGACAATTTATAATTTTTATATTATTTTAATATAGTATAAAGATGGGAAAATAGAAATTAGAATTAGTTATACAGTCAACATTTGAAGATTGAGAGAAACATAATAGCTAATTAAGTAAAACCTATATTATGGAATCTATATGAATAAATGCAAAATTGGAGCTCAATTCTCCCACGAACTCTGAGATTAAAAAGCCCCAGCTCTACTTTATAGTAATTTGGTATTTATTCAAACATCCATGAAGTCACATTGTGACACAAGGTCAGTTTAATGTGGGGAGACTGAGTGCATACACTTTGGCTAGGAACAAAAAAGTCAACTTTGATCTTCAAAATTTTAAATGCAATGTCAATTTCTATCTTTTATCTATGCAATTAATGTTTTTTTTTTTATTATTATTGTCCTCTCTGCTTAATAATGTTTTCCTTTTTCTCATAGTTTTCACACTGAGTTAACTCCCTTGTTTCTTAGTAGTTTATTTGGCTTGCTAGAGGGTGAAATGATTAAAAAAATGTTAATAACCTTAATTTATAATAATGAAATTTGTTAGTAAAACATGAAATCAATGAAACAAAGCATTGTTTTTTCCATCATTATATATTTGTTTGAATAAATAATTTTTTACTACTGTGTAAACAACAACATAGCTTGAATTTTGTTGGCATTAAAATATTGCTAGCTTTGCAGAAAGAGGTTGTCTTAACAGCAGCAGCAGCTATTATTAGGTCATAATTAGTTGGACTCAAAACAGGAAATTGTGGACAGTTTACAAAATCAGGATGTGGAGTAGAATTTAAAAATGGAGAAAACATTTAAGACAAAAATATATAACACTGAATAATATCTATTTGAATTTTTAAGAGAAACAAACATTTAAGAGAATGTTTTTAAATTCTTATAAAATATTTGTCCATTAAAAATGATCAAAAAAAAACTCATTTCAATATATATATATATATATATATATATATATATATATATATATATATATATATATATATATATATATATATAAAATCCAATTTCAAAATCAACTAAAAACTTTCTATACTTATTCTTTTTAATCATCTTAAGCATTTTTTCCCTTCATTTCATGGCAATTGTTCTGATAAGCTTTCCTCTTTGGTACCTCATCTTCACAAATTTAAGCATAGTACTAAATATTTCCAGTTAGATCTCATTATTTTACTGTTGAAATTACTAGATGTAACCATAAATTCTTCTTGCCTGTGGGACTCTTCTCGTTTTTTACTTTCTTGTTAATTATGATCTTCAAAGTTTTAAATGCAACATTGTAACCTTCTGTCTCCTTGAATCCCGATTTTTTATTGCTTCTTATCTTAACATTTTCTCAGCTTTTTATACTCTTAGTAATCCCTTCATCTTAAAACCATTAAGTCCATTACCATACCTTGGGTGAAATGATTTAAAATAAAGGATAAAAAAAGTTTCAATCTGTTGCTATCTTAAAAAAACTTACCAGTACCTTCTAACACTATCAGGCCAAAGCAACACATTAGATAAAAGCTAATATCAGACACTTATCTATGAAGGGAAGTGTAGGTCAAGGGTCACTAAATGAGAAATAACATGTTTGTAAACCCTAAAAAACAAAATTAAAGATGTGCAAAACTATATTCAAACTGAAATTTTTTTAATTGTATTAAAAAAAATAATGTGTAAATTCTATTTCTCTTTACCCATAGCATGATTTACAATACAGACACAAATTAGATTAATGGCCCGATGAACTTGTTCTTTTCTATCTCGTGTGTGTGTGTGTGTGTGTGTGTGTGTGTGTGTGTGTGTATGAAAGAATGCTGAAAATTTTTCAGCCCTATAATGAAATAAATAAAAAAACAGTTAATTTTGTGCATGGAAGACATTAAAATTAAAAGTTGCTAGGGATTTTCTCAGATACAGAGACAATAGATATATATTCAATGTTTTCCCAAAATATACATACACACACTTCTTCAGCCTTCATAACAACTTCAAGTAAAAATATATAAGGAATACTTATATTTAACCTTTAATGCAATATTTACTTTTAATCATTGAATTACATTTAAGAAACTAAACTGAGAGAAACCAGAAATTAATCAGAATTTAATCCAGAAATCCTGTCAAATAATGTGTGTGTCTGTGTGTAAACAAACATGACTTCTGCTTAACTGATGGATATGTAAAATTATCAATAAACAGAAAGTTTGGGAAGATAACTAAAGAATTTAAACTAAAGTTTTTTTGTCAAGTGATTCTGAATGGAAAAATAGATACAGCTATTTGTTTGATTCCCGCAAACATATTTACTCTCTCAACCAAGCTAGCCTCAATTTAATGGTTTGTTCAAATCTTATTAGTAAAATATTAGATAAGTACAGAGGAATATTAACAAAGTCAACAGCATGTGTGTGTTAATTAAATATTAATTAACAGTAAGTATGGATTTTCAGGGTTACTTTCATTTTTTAAGTATTTGTTTATTATTTGAGCGTAGTATTTGCTGCATTTTTTTTTAGTTTGTGTTGTAATTTACTACTTGTCTGAATAAAACAAAAGTTCTTAATACAGTTTTAAAAAACAGTGTAAAAAAAAGTTCTTAATATTGAATGGGTAGAGAACAAGTTGAATGGGTGAGAGATAAACAGTTTATAGGCATAAACAGTGTAAAGTTGAATGGGTGAGAGATTAGTAAAAAAAACAGTAAAGTTGGGTGAGAGTATTAAACAGTAAAAAATAATGGGTAAACAGTGTAAAGTTGAATGGGTGAGAGATACAGTAGGCATAAACAGTGTAAAGTTGAATGGGTGAGAGATACAGTAGGCATAAACAGTGTAAAGTTGAATGGGTGAGAGATACAGTAGGCATAAACAGTGTAAAGTTGAATGGGTGAGAGATACAGTAGGCATAAACAGTGTAAAGTTGAATGGGTGAGAGATACAGTAGGCATAAACAGTGTAAAGTTGAATGGGTGAGAGATACAGTAGGCATAAACAGTGTAAAGTACACAGCAATTTAAGAAACATTTAACAATGTTAAATTGTTTCAAAAGAAATAAGTGTTTGAAATACCAAACATTAAATTCACTTCAGGATAAAAGTGCTTGTTATTGTTGAGAGTTAAAGAAAACAGAGTTTACAAGAGAGTTAATCAAGGAAGCACATGTTTAGAAACTTAACTGAGACGAATTATGTGTGTGCACACACACACAAATATATACACAAACATGCACACACAAATATATATGTACACAAAAATGTGCACACACATATACTTACAACACACATATATAGTGTAGTCATTTGAAGATCATAAGAGTGTGAAACCTGAGTAATGATGACTCAGGCTGTACTTTGTTAGGAGTTGATGCTGTGAAGTGTTTTTTGCTGTGTAGGTAATCTGGGTATTGAGCACTTTACTGAGTAGGTAGATGTTTGCCTTTATTTTTATTTTTTTAAATACAGTAAAGTTCACCCTGTACAAGACCTGGGTGTCACTTGACATTAGAGGGCTACAGAGTAAAAGGCACAATTTATGCAAATAGGTGGAGAAAATAATGGTTAATTGTAGACTTGAACAGTTTAAGATTGTAGTGATTGGGAAAACATCCTCTTGGGAGTTGGTTCCACAGAGCAGTCATTTGCATGAAGAAGCTGCTAGAGTCGAACTTACATCTCACCAATGGAATATGATGGGAACGTGGGTGGTTTGATACAATGAGTAGGGAACCAACCATCTTCCCAGAATCTTTAGTGATGGATTGTATGCACCACTTGGAGCCCAACAATCGCTAAAGGCACAAGGGCCTATGCCAGGGGACAGCCATTGTGACTGGTGGTATTTCAGTGTCTTTCATTCATTTTTCTTTCCTTGTTTGGGATTTTTCTACTCTAAAGTGTTAAGTTCTCTGGCAAGTTGTCTGTTAGCCACACCAACATAGTTCATTTTTCTTGAGTGTATAATAATAGCTGACCACTCATATTCAAGGATACTTGTCTACTAAGGTGGCTAACAAATCCCTATTGCAGACGCTCACTCAGGCACATTTGTGTTTGCCCAACACTCATAGAGCCCACCTGTGGTTTATACTGAAACTATGTTGAGCAGACCTTAATTATAGTTTCTGGGAGAGAGTGTGTTATCTAGCATGATCAATTTGAACAAGGCTAGCATGCTCAAGCCCTCGGCCATGACAATTTGTGGCTTTGTGCTAGCACAGCTATTGACAGCCCTCAAGAGTTCTGTCTACCCAATTTCACTCACAAGGCTTGGGTCAACCCATGGTATGGTTTTTGGGCACTTTTCAAAAGGTGCCACATGCTAGGATCAACCTTGATCCATACCAATAACATCAAGAAGACTCCTTCCTGACAAATCAACCATGGTGAGATTTG